ACTTTCCACCAGATAACACAAAACATTTAAATTTCGGGAAGCCTACCGCTGCACACCCCGTCCTTATAAAAAACATTGTCACACTTCCAGGGTTTTAAGGCCAACAAAACACCCCCCCACTAAGAGCTGAACAGAGGGTGCTAACCCACCATGCCTCCTATATAAAAAATACCAACGGCTAGACTAAAAAATAAAAGGAATAACACATTAAATAATTTGGGTTTGATCTTAATTGCCTTTTCTTTTCCCACACCCAATTTTTTTAGAAAAGATTTAAAACCCCACTTTGGGCAGTGTTTTTGAACCCCGTTTTTTTTTTTTTTTTTTTTTCCTTTTCTTCCCCTACGCTATTCATCCCTTGGCCCCTTTAAATCTCCTTTTTTTTTCCCTCTCCCCCCCTTTCCTTCCCCTTTCTTCTTTCCCCCCTCTTCTTTTTTCCCTTTTTCCTTCTCCCTTTTCCTTCCTTTTTTTTTTTTTCTTTCCCCCTTCTTTCTTCCTCTTTCCCCTCTTTCTTTTTTCCCTTCCTTCTTTCCCCTCTCTCTTTCTATTCTCTCTCTCTCTCTCTCTCTCTTGCAGTGTCTCTGTCGTTCTATCGCTGTGCAGTGCAGTGCAGTCCCACCCCCACTCACACACAGAGCCTGGGGAAAGACCGGGGACTGGATTCCCTCTTACACGTGAAAACCTTGAGACTGGAGTACTGCAGATCAGGAATACATATTGTACTAGCCAAAGCTACGAGACAGTCAATAGGCAGAAAACAGGCAATGACCTCATACACACATTTATGCCCCCCCCCCCCCCCCCCCCACACACACAGAGACTTAGAGAGACCAGAATGACATATAAAACATATCTATCAGTGTTAGAGGACACTTAGAGAGATTACAGACTACAGACTCACCATCCATTATCAAAATAATTCACTTTAAGGAAATGTTTTAGCCACAGTCTGCATCCAAAGATAATAAACAACATATCTATTTTAAAATCAGACAGTGCGTAAGTGGTCTACAAAAGATAACCACACATTAGGAGGGAAATAGACCTTCAATAAAAGGTTTGGACACATAAAAAAATCCCCTGTGGGAGGAGCAAAACAGTGAGCAGACATTTTGGTCAGTCGATTCAAATGTTGTCCTTTACAAGGTGCTTTTATCTAAATCAACTCACAGTTGATACAGATCTAGGATCTTAATTTGAGCCAGTTTGCTACAGCAGGAAATTAATCCTGTAGCAATAGGAAATTAGAATTATTCAGTGGATTATAATTAATGGACATTTTTGTAGGGGTTGATACATTTTTCGTGAAAAATGAGAAACTTCAGAAGCCTTTTTAAACCTCAAATACACTACAAGGTTAACATTTCCTGCATTGCAGGAAAGTTCTCCTACAGCAGGGTAATCAAATGAACATCCTACATCTGTACACACAGGAATTAAACCCACAGCCCTGATGAAGTTGAACACACCAAGCAGACTTGTTTTAGACAACAAGCCAAGCTTGCTCTGAATAATCTCATAATTACACTTAGATTAGGAAGAACAGAGAGAGACTGGATTCTGCCTGTGTGGCTTGACGAGACTGAACATGAAGACTTGTATTCTGACATCTGCAATTGTTCCTAAATATTGATAGTCAGTGGTTACCACACCTGCTCTCCATCATTACCACACCTGCTCTCCATCATTACCACACCTGCTCTCCATCACTACACACACCTGCTTTCCATCATTACCACACCTGCTCTCCATCATTACCACACCTGCTCTCCATCATTACACACACCTGCTCTCCATCATTACCACACCTGCTCTCCATCATTACCACACCTGCTCTCCATCATTACACACACCTGCTCTCCATCATTACCAACACCTGCTCTCCATCATTACCACACCTGCTCTCCATCATTACCACACCTACTCCCCATCATTACCACACCTACTCCCCATCATTACACACACCTGCTCTCCATCATTACCACACCTACTCTCCATCATTACCACACCTGCTCTCCATCATTACCACACCTACTCTCCATCACTACACACACCTGGACTTCATCATTACCACACCTGCTCTCCATCATTACCACACCTGGACTTCATCATTACCACACCTGCTCTCCATCATTACCACACCTGGACTTCATCATTACCACACCTGCACCCCATCATTACACACACCTGGACTTCATCATTCCCTTGATTACTTCCCATTTATTTAGCCCTCAGTAACCTCAGTCTTCAGGCAGTATTGGTTTTGTTCACGTTCAGTACACGCACCTCCTGTTTTGTTTATCTGCATATTCTCATCATTAAACTCACCTTCTGCACCTGCTTCCTGACTCCTAGCGTATACGTTATTTCATTGCATTTATAGAATTGTTTTTTTACTTGACTTGACTTGAAAAAACTTGTGACTTTAATCAACTTGACTTTCTCTTTGAATGCACGACTTGGACTTGACTCGAGACTCGACCCGTTCTACTTGGGTCTCGACTTGAGACTCGGACCTTGTGACTTGAGACTTGCTTTTGACTCTAATAATAGTGACTTGGTCCCACCTCTGCTAGGTTTCAGACAAATGTGCTGCTTGCATCATGACGTGTTTAGCTAGCCAGCGAGAAAGATTGTGGGTGGTTCAAACCAGCGAGGCAAACATTACCTGCATAACTTTGGATTTGTTATCATGGTCTTGACATTGACAGCGTTGAGGTATTCAGTACATTTTCTAATAAATAACATGGCTTGTGAACTTAATTGCAGTTTCAGATTAATTTTGAAATTCATGTCAGCCTGAACCAGTATCTGGGCTTGAGGAGACGATTAATATGACGATATCTCCTCTGATGCCCAGGACCCTTCAATTCAAAGTCCCATTAGCCAGCTCTGCAAACGCTATAATGTCATTGTCAAAATACCTTCGGTACTCACCAAAATATGGAGTTTTGCAGAGCAACTATCGTCATTACTGCAGTAATGCACCTCCAATAGAATCACTCATTACTGCCACGCACCGGTCGGCTGAAAGATCATTGATTCTTATTTTTTTTGTTGACCTTTTTTGGAAGTACATTCTGTGCATAGCGGTTGATGGAGACTGCGAGGGAACTTTACTGAGCTTGAGAAGGAAGTCAATAAAGCAATGGAGAATTTGTGTGATGCTGAGCTAAAGCGGACGCAGCAGTATGCAGTGGATGTGACTCTGGATTCTGATACAGAATTTCCAAACCTCATCCTTTCTGAGGATGGGAAACAAGTGAGATGTGGAGACACAAAACAAGATCTCACTGACAAACCAAAGGGATTGAGTTTCTCTGTCCTGGGATAGGAGAGCTTCTCCTATGGTAGATTCTACTATGAGGAGCAGGTGGAAGGGAAAGATATGGTGGTGGCTCGGCGTGGCCAGCATGTCCATCGACAGGACGGAGAGTTTAAACCTGTGCTCTGAGGATGGACTGGACTGTGTGGCTGAATGGTGAGAAGTCAGCAGTTACTACCCTGTCCTCCTCTCCCTAAGAGAGAAGCCCTAGAAGGTTGGGTGTTTGTGGATTGCGAGAAGGGTCAGGTCTCCTTCTATGACGTAGAGGCCAGGTCTCATACCTACTCCTTCACTGAGAAACTATATCCATACTTAAACCCCTCCCTTACAAAAATGAATTTGTTGCGGCAAACTTCCCACAAGTTTGTGGCAAATTTGCTGCAAACTAAATAGTGTGTTACAAAATGTTCCCAGAAGTTTGCAAATGTTTGCCACTAGTGGTGAATCTGCAGCAAACCTTTGGCAAGAATAATATTTATTTCCACTAGTGGCAGATGGACACCCGAATTTGCTGTTTGCCAGAAGCCTCCTTTGTATCGGTAAGGGCTATCTTAGAGGTGAAACTCAGCCTCACTGGTCATCTCCCCTGTCACCTACACACACAAACAAGTTGTGACTAAAATGTCAAACACTCAGCTCATTACTTGATTAGTTTGCAACAGATCATGATTGTTGGGTTTGCATATCAAACTGTACACAGCATAATCACTAATCTCCCATGGACAAAGGTTTTGAAAGTTCCCTCTGCAAGTATCGAGAGCAAGAATATGCTGGTTCTGAGTGGTGTGTCAGAATGTTGGTCAGAACTAAACTGCAAAGAGACCCATGTCTACTTTGGCATTTGAACATGTTCTTCTGTATATTGCATATCATTTTCAGTTCAACTTTTGTTGATGTTGTTGTTGTTGTTGCCTAAAATCCATTTGGAAATAAATCCAGATTGTGAAATGCATAATTGTGTATGAATTATGTTTTGGAAATACGAACTGGTAGAGATGGTGAGTTTGGCCTCTGTTGTGCCCTTCAGTCTTAAAATGGCAGCTCTGCAGTGCCAGGTGGGGTTACGTTGGTGTGTGTGTGTATGAGCGTGTGGGACAAGGAAAGGGGCATTATTCCCTGTGGTATTAGTCTGCTGTACATCGATCAATGGTTCTTGCTGGGAAGTGAACTCAGACATTCCTTCTACCTCACTGACTGCCACCAGCCCAGAACAGAGCAGGACAACCAGGAGTCATGGAAACCAGGAGTCATGGAAACCAGGTGTCATGGAAAACCAGGAGTCATGGAAACCAAAGCAGTGACCAGGAGTAAGGAATACTATACTACACTAAAGTCTTGCTCAGGAGGGCACAACATTGTGAATTTGCAGATAGAAATACCTTGCATAGAGCTGATATGAATCCCTATTATTCTACAGAGCAGCATGTCTGTTCTATATAATATATTTATATCTGAAGCAAAACATATCTATTGAACATGTTACAGAAACCAAACCAGACTAAAATGTGAGAAAAATCTGTCTGGCAACAATACACCTCTTTCATGACTGTGTCCTGGTGAAATACTGTCTTCTAGTTCCCTCTAGTGGACCCACAGAGTCACTACAAAACGTCTGTCCAGCGCTTGCTGCTGGTCTCTGAATAGGCCTATATTCTCTGCCAGGGCCAAGCAGACCTCTGTCAAATAAACGTTTGAGATGCCTGTACTCACCAAATACTTTCCCCAGGAATAATGTCTTGACCAGGTTGAACTGTGTGTCTGATGCCTCTGGGAGAGAGTAGCTGACAGGGGGGTAGTGGTCCAACTGGAGAGGGGGAGAGGATGAGGGAGAGAGAGGAGATCATTTCCATAGTCAATCATCAACATCATCGTGTTCATTGATCTTTGTACAAACATCATGCCATTGTCAATTCCTCAAGTCCTGAGACAATTACAGAGGCTTTCATCTCCCTCTTGTGGTTAGAAATGTACACATCTGAAGTCATTATCGACTATGCTTGGACAGTGGAGAGAAGGTTTGTGTGTGTGTGTGTGTCTGTGTGTGTGTGTGCATACCTGTATGGTGATAGTTCTGTTGGTTCTGGACATGTTGATAGTATGTGGCTGTCCGTTGGCTAGGTTACGCTGGTCCACGTCTATGGTGAACGGCTCCTTGAGACCGCCCAGGTTATACCGCACCTGGAGAGTTCCTACACACAAACAAATGCACACACACGCACACACACACACACAAACCGAGAGAACTTAGACTTAGATACTGCATCTGCAACATACCTGAGAAACAAAGAGAGGCAGAGCCCAAGTGTGTCTATACGTGTGTGTGTCTATACGTTGTGTGTGTTTATACGTGTGTGTGTGTGTTTATACGTGTGTGTGTGTGTTTATACGTGTGTGTATTGTAAAGTGGTTATCCCACTGGCTATAGGGTGAATGCACCTAATTGTAAGTCGCTCTGGATAAGAGTGTCTGCTAAATGACGTAAATGTAAATGTAAATGTGTGTGTGTTTATACGTGTGTGTGTGTGTGTGTTTATACGTGTGTGTGTGTTTATACGTGTGTGTGTGTGTTATACGTGTGTGTGTGTGTTTATACGTGTGTGTGTGTGTTTATACGTGTGTGTGTGTGTGTTTATACGTGTGTGTGTTTATACGTGTATATGTGTGTGTCTATACGTGTGTGTGTGTTTATACGTGTGTGTGTTTATAAGTGTGTGTGTGTGTTTATGTGTGTGTGTGTTTATACGTGTGTGTGTGTTTATACGGTGGTGTGTGTTATGGGGTGTGGGGTGGTTTATACGTGTGTGTGTGTGTTTATACGTGTGTGTGTGTGTTTATACTGTGTGTGTGTGTGTTTATACGTGTGTGTGTGTTTATACGTGTGTGTGTGTGTTTATACGTGGTGTGTGTGTGTGTGTCTATACGTGTGTGTGTGTTTATACGTGTGTGTGTGTGTTTATACGTGTGTGTGTGTGTTTATACGTGTGTGTGTGTGTTTATACGTGTGTGTGTTTATACGTGTGTGTGTGTCTCACCATTCTGCCGTAGCACCAGTGCCAGGTAGTCTTGTGTCTTGGAGCTGACGTACAGCAGTATAGCCGGTGTGTTGGATGTGCTGAAGCTAAATGCTACTTCTTCTCCTGTCAGATTCACTTCCTGTGGAGTCAGAGGTTGGGCCAGGAACCTTGCGTCCTGATTGGCTGCCGCTGCCTCTGACAGGAAGTTGTATCTCACCAGGGTCCCCGCCTCAAAGAAGCCCCCCACATCTGAGAGAGAGGAGAGAACACATACACACAGAAGGTCAATTGGTGGTGACTTTACCATGAAAAGCCTGCTTACGAGCCCTTCCCAACAATGCAGAGTTTAAAATAGTAACACACAAGAGGAATAAAATAAAATAAAATAAACAAGAATGGAGCTATATATCCGATGACATTGAGGAGTATACCACATCAGTTACCGGCTTCATCAATACAGTGCCTTCGGAAAGTATTCAGACCCCTTGACTTTTTCAAAATGTTGATACGCTATAGCCTTATTCTAAAATGGATTAAAAATATATATATACTCAGCAATCTACACACAATACCCCATAATGACAAAGTCAAAACAGGTTTTCAGAGATTTTTGCAAATGTCTTAAAAATAAAAAACAGAAATACCTTATTTACATAAGTATTCAGACCCTTTGCTATGAGACTTGAAATTGAGCTCAGGTGCATCCTGTTTCCATTGATCATCTGTGAGATGTTTCTACAACTTGATTGGAGTCCACCTGTGGTAAATTCAATTAATTGGACATGATTTGGAAAAGGTCCCACAGTTGACAGTGCATGTCACAGCAAAAACCAAGCCAAGAGGTCGAAGGAATTGTCCGTAGAGCTCCGAGACAGGATTGTGTCAAGGCACAGATCTGGGGAAGGGTACCAAACAATTTCTAAAGCATTGAACGTCCCCAAGAACACAGTGGCCTCCATCATTATTAAATGGAATTAGTTTGGAACCACCAAGACTCCTCCTAGAGCTGGCCGCCCGACCAAACTGAGCAATCGGGGGAGAAGGGCTTTTGGTCAGGGAGCTGACCAAGAACCCGATGGTCACTCTGACAGAGCTCTAGAGTTCCTCTGTGGAGATGGGAGAACCTTCCAGAAGGACAACCATCTCTGCAGCACTCTACCAATCAGGTATTTATGGTAGAGTGGCCAGACAGAAGCCACTCCTCAGTAAAACGCACATGACAGCCCGCTTGGAGTTTGATGAAAGGCACCTAAAGACTCTCAGACCATGAGAAACAAGATTCTCTGGTCTGATGAAACCAAGATTGAACTCTTTGACCTGAATGCAAAGCGTAACGTCTGGAGGAAACCTCGCACAATCCCTACGGTGAAGCATGGTGGTGGCAGCATCATGCTGTGGGGATGTTTTTCAGCGCCAGGGACTGTGAGACTAGTCAGGAGTGAGGCAAAGATGAACGGAGCAAAGTACAGAGAGATCCTTGATGAAAACCTGCTCCAGAGCACTCAGGACCTCAGATTGGGGGCAAAGGTTCCCCTTCCAACAGGACAATGACCCTAAGCACACAGCCAAGACAACACAGGAGTGGCTTCGGGACAAGTCTCTGAATGTCCTTGAGTGGCCCAGCCAGAACCCGGACTTGAACCCGATCGAACATCTCCGGAGAGACCTGAAAATAGCTGTGCAGCAACGATCCCCATCCAACCTGACAGAGCTTGAAAGGATCTGCAGAGAAGAATGGGAGAAACTCCCCAAATACAGGTGTGCCAAGCTTGTAGCGTCATACCCAAGAAGACTCGAAGGCTGTAGTCACTGCCAAAGGTGCTTGAGTTTGAGTTTGAGTTTGAGTTTATTTTTACAGGGACAGTGCACATTAATCAACGTTTCAGTAAAAGTGCCGGTTTTAGCCAGCCGGCTAATTTTCAACCGCAGTCCCTGGGCAGGTTATTAAAAACAATTACAATATAGACAATAACAACATAGAACAAGACATAGCATACAGACATAGCAACATAGGACAAGCAAGACGTAGCATACAGACCGAGCAACATAGAACAAAAAGCTGCAAGACAAAATTCATAAAAGCAACAAAATGTTTCCACACCTCACAAGTTACAGACAACAGACATGGAAAGCGGCAACACACAGCTAGGGACCATGTTCACAAATCTGATTGACCTTTAGCCATGTCTTCAAGCATTTTGTGAAAGTGTGATATGTGGTGCAGTTGTGTGTGTCTGATGGCAGTGTATTCCAGACATGGGAAGCTCTCACAGAAAAAGCAGATTTACTAAAGGTGCTTTTCCTTAGGGGAACTACACAGTCACCTCTCATGGCAGACCTTGTGGATCTGCTGCCATATGTTTGGGTTTTCTGTTTAACAAAAATACTGAGTGGAGGGGGAGCCAAGCCATTTAGGATCTTGAATACAAGACATGCATCGGTGTATTGCACAAGATTTTCCCAACTCAGGAGCTCATGCTTTCTAAGGATGTGACAGTGATGATGGCTATTGGGCTTCCTATCAAGCACTTTGAGAGCCTGTTTGTAGACAGACTGAATAGGTCTTACTGTTGTACAGCAAGCTTGGGCCCAACTAGTCAAGCAGTATGTTAAGTGGGGGAGTATCATAGATTTGAAGTACAGTTTTGCTACCTCTGTAGTCAAACAATTTCGTATAAATCGGAAATTAGCTAGGTTGAATTTGGTTATTTGAATTACCTTTTTCACATGCTTTTTAAAAGAGAGGTTGGAATCAAGTATGATGCCAAGGTACTTAAAATCAGATACCCCCTGGAGCTTCTCCCCTGACACATAGACTTCTGGCTCAGTAGCATCTGTTGCCCTCTTTGTGAAGAACATGCAAACAGTTTTTTTCACATTGAGATGCAAACACGAGTCACTGAGCCACTTTGTAACCTGGACCATTACAGTAGTGAGTTCTTGTGCAGCTTGTTGTTTGCTCTTTGCATGCACATATATCACTGTATCATCTGCATACATTTGAACTTCAGACCCAGTACAGACAGAAGGCAGATCATTAATGTACAGGCTGAACAGGAGGGGCCCCAGTATTGACCCTTGGGGCACACCCACATCATAGCTAAGAGTGGGCGATAGCTCATTGCTCACTCTGACACACTGAGTTCTGCCTTCAAGGTATGATTTCATCCATCTCAAGGCATCGGGGGAAAAGTTGAACTTGGACAATTTTGTGATGAGAATCTCATGGTTAACAGTATCAAAAGCCTTCCTTAGGTCCAGAAACACAGCCCCAACAACGCCCCCTTTGTCCATCTTGGACTTCACATTTTCCAGAAAAAAGCAGTTGGCCATTTCTGTGGAGTGTTTCGCTCTGAAGCCAAACTGCATGGAATGTAATGTGAAGGGGCTGTTGTTGAGGTGGGCAATCAGTTGTTCTGCTACACACTTTTCAACAACCTTTGACACCACAGGTAGTATACTAATGGGCCTGTAGTTACTCACGTCAGCAGGGTCGCCTGATTTAAAGATGGCCGTTATTATGGCCGACTTCCATACCCTTGGAAACACCCCGAGACCAATAGATGTGTTGGTGACCTTAGTAATGGGGCCAATGAGTGACTCTTTGTAGTTTTTAAGAAAGGTAGAGTCCATCCCAAACACATCTTTGGCTTTAGAGTTCTTTAGTGAGCTAATCACCTTGTCTACCTTTGACTCAGAAACCTCCCTTATGATGAAGACAGGTTGAGCATCATTTACTAGCACTGAGCCCAAGAAACCAGTGGAGGGGTTCTGTGTCAGGGTTCTTGGGGACGTTCAATGCTTTAGAAATTGTTTGTGTCAGCTTCAACAAAGTACTGAGTAAAGGGTCTGAATACTTATGTAAATGTGATATTTCAGTTGTTGTTTTATATTATAGATTAACAAAAATTTCTAAAAACCTATTTTTGCTTTGTCATTATGGGGTATTGTATGTAAATTGATGAGGGAAAAAGGGGTCTGAATACTTTCCGAAGGCACTGTAAGTGCATCGACGACGTCGTCCCCACAATGACCGTACGTACATATCCCAACCAGAAGCCATGGATTACAGAAAACATCCGCACTAAGCTAAAGGCTAGAGCTGCCGCTTTCAAGGAGTGGGACACTAATATAACGTTTATAAGAAAACCCGCCACGCCCTCCGACGAACCATCAAACAGGCAAAGCATCAATACAGGACCAAGATCTAATCCTACTACAACGGCTCGTCGGATGTGGCAGGGCTTGCAAACTATCACGGATTACAAAGGGATACCCAGCCGCGAGCTGTCCAGTGACGCAAGCCTACCAGACAAGTGAAATACCTTCTATGCGCGCTTCGAGGCTAGAACTATACATGAGAGCACCAACGGTTTGGGACGAATTGTGTGATCACGCTCTCCGTAGCGGACGTGAGTAAGACCTTTAAACAGGTTAACATTCATAAGGCCGCAGGGCCAGACGGATTACCAGGTCACTTACTCAGAGCATGCGCTGACCAGCTGGCAAGTGTCTTCACTGACATTTTCAACCTCTCCTTGACCCAGTCTGTAATTTCCAGCAGACCACCATAGTCCCTGTACCCAAGAACGCCAAAGTAACCTGTCTAAATGACTATCGCCCCGTAGCACTCACATCTGTAGCCATGAAATGTTTTGAAAGGCTGGTCATGGCTCACATCAACACCATCATCCCAGACACCCTGGACCCACTCCAATTCGCATACCGCCCCAACAGATCTGCTGATGACGCAATCTCTATTGCACTCCACAATGCCCTTTCACACCTGGAGAAAAGGAACACCTACGTGAGAATTCTGTTCATTGACTACAACTCAGTGTTCAACACCATTGTGCCCTCCAAGCTCATCACTAAAGTAAGGACCCTGGGATTAAACCCCTCCCTCTGCAACTGGATCCTGGACTTCCTGAGGGGCCGCTCCCAGGTGGTGAGGGTAGGCAACAATACATCCGCCACGCTGACCCTCAACACGGGGGACCCTCAGGGGTGCGTGTTAAGTCCATTCCTGAACTCCGTGTTCACCCACGACTGCTTGGCCGCGCACCACTCCAACACCATTATTAAGTTTGCAGACGACACGACGGTGGTAGGCCTGATCACAGACAACGATGAGACAGCCTACAGGGAGGAGGTCAGAGACCTGGCAGCGTGGTGCCAGGACAACAACCTCTC